TCCTTCAATCGCCCTCCACCAACGGTTCTGGAGCCATGGTTTTGGTAGGGGAAAGTGGTGAACAAGGCAAAGCTTTTGCCCTTACAGACATGACATTCTAAGGGGGACGGCTAATAATCAAGTAAACAGGGGAGTGGAGGGGAGACCAAGTGTGCAACGTTAAATAGGGTGTCAGGTATATACGGGTCAGGATTCGCATGCAACCGTACGGCACGTACGACTAAAAACCCCACAACACGCAAATGTACACAAACTGTAGAACATCAGGCAGCAGCCTGTGGTGGCCTGCACAGGACTGGTCAGCTAGGGTGACGTTTCACCAGCGAGGCAGCGTTTCTGAGCCCTGACACCCTCGGAAGCACAAAGTGGCATTTACTGAGAACTCGTTACCAGCAGTGAGCTCAGGTCCTCATGTGGCAAACCTGCACAGGTAAGTCACTTTTTCTTCATCTCAGATGGAGGAGACAAGAGTTTCGCTGATTGATCCAGCTGCTCGCAGCATCTCCCAGTCCCCGACCAATGGCAAGTTCACGCCTTCCGCTCAGGGCAAAGGCAAAGCTCAGAGAAGACAAAGAAAATAAAAAATGGTCCGTGTCCCTTGCCGGGGCTTCCCACAAAGGGCCTGGTTTGGGAGGCACGCGGAGGACTCCTTCCCCGCCCCCAGTCACCTTACCCTGCCAGTTTTCTTTGTGTTAGGGGGTGGCCCCCTCTCACCCAAGGGCTGCAGGACTCACCCTGGGCGTTAAGCTCCCAGCCTCACCAGCAGGACTGATTTTAGCAAACGCACGCATGCCTTCTGGTGCACAGCGCTGAGTAGCTCGTGGCCTCAGGACCCGGGCAAGGGAGACACTAAAGAGGGGAAAGAACAGTTTAAAGGCAAGCGTGACCTTCTTGGCCACTTTATCCCCATCTCTTGAGAGAGAAGAAACAAAGAGAGAGAATCTCCCTCTCTGTGGAAAATTTCGATAAATAAAAAAGGACACAGAAGATAGGAGCCTGAAGGTAGACCTCCCACCTTTAAGAAAAATCAGCTCATGACCCACCTTGTTAAAATTATACCTCCCGGCCTCCTTCCACCCTGGATATTTTCATGCAAACCCTAGACGTTATACTCCGTCTCGCATTAATATTTCAGTATGCGTCCCTTCCAGAAATGTTCTTTTTAAAACCGCATCACCCTACTAACCCCTATGCAAATCAATGTCTTTACTGTTATCAAATATCCGCTCAGTGTTCAGAGAGCCTCTGCCGTCTCGAGTTTTTGTTTTATGCGTTGTTTATTTGAATCAAGACCTGAGGAGGAGCCCGACCTTTCCATTTGTCTCTTCTGATAAATCTCTTCAATCTCTTTAATGTACGGGCGAGACAGGGAGGTCCCCTGAAGCCCGATTTCGTTAAAGCGAAGAAGGGTCAGCCCAGACGGAATGTGTATCTTGTTAGACGTCTAATCTGCAGGAAGAAAGGTGAAGTGGGTTTGAAAACCGATTTCGTGGTCTAGAAGAGGTATCAGCAACATCGGTTACAGGGACACAGGCAGAAGTCTGCCATCACCCCCGCCTTCCCTCAGCCTTCCTCCTGGGCCAAGCCTGGCTCCAGAAGAGCTGAGACGAGGGCCATAAAATGGCTTTTATGCGGCCACCTCCACCTTTATAGAGGCCCACTCGGCTTGCACATTCTCAGTTAAGAGCCCGTTAAGAAAGAGTTCCATCAGTCTTGCTTGATGTCCCCAATTAATGCAGCAAAACCCTTAATAAAGTCTCAATTTTGGACACATTGCAATACTGTAATTAAAATGTTCAAAGGAAAATAAAAGCCATTCTGTTTGAGGCTGGAAGGACCTTTTGTCCCTGTAGCCATCTCTCTGAGTCACTTTCTCTACGAGGGCTCAGGACAGGTAGGAACAAATCCTCTCCTTCGCTGGGGAGCCCAGGACCTGTGTTTTGTCACCTCAGCACAAAGATGCTACCTGAGAAGAAGACAGGGGATACTTCTAGATTCCCAGAAAGAC